CTGCAGGGAAGTCAAAATTGATAACATTTTCAACTCCTGGAAAAGTACAACAAACAGAAAGTTAATTCACATGTTTGCACTAAACAACTGGATATTGATGCTCATGGTCACGAAGAGAAAAATATTTACATGCAAATGTGTTACAGAAGTATCCATGAATGGTTCTTTAAAGTTTGAGTCTTAGAATAAACCGGGAAAAGTCCACTGTTAAGTATTTTGGACATAATAAGAATTACTAATTGATGACAACATTTGTGACTTTGCTTCAGCCATCACATGTATTGTTGATGCATCCAGCCTAAAAAGAGTTCAGGTTTTTGCTGATGCCAACGCCTAAGACACTGGGACGTGAAGTGATTCCAACTAACAGCATGTTTGGTATGATCTTGAAAAACTGTTTTTCTCAGTATTTGTGGTTTGTTTCATCAGCCAGATTTGCATATTTCCCCCTTTCCCCCTTGTGGAGAGAGCATGGTTTGATCGACCTATCGCAACAATAATATACACTGTACTAAACAGTGAGTGATCTCAAACAAAAAAGCAATCAGCAATCCACAACCTTCCTTTTGCATTTTTTAGCCCAACCAAAAGTCGTGTGCATTCACCTCCACTCACTAAGCCAATTATCTCCCTTACTTCCGGTTCATGTACTGTTTTGTCTACATTCACATGCGATCATTTCAAGGTCATTGGAAAATTGTTCCATCTTTTGAAATACTTTCTAGAGACAAACCTTGAAAATCTACTCCTCTTGAGACCCCATACTCTTTGTCTTTCTTTCTCCTGTAGAAAAGGAAATGTTATTTATGCAAAATACTGCAAAATACTGATTCCTTTTGCTTTCCTCCATTGTACATGTACAAATTTAGTGTGCATAATTAAGTAGTGATGACCAATTACACATGTAGGTTTTCTCCACTAACTCTTCCTCTACGCAAGTAGTGAAGTACACAATATTTACTCACGGACAAACATTAAAAATACACTGGCAGCAGTGCCAAATATATGGAGTATCTGTTAAACAAGTAAATATATCAGTTTGGTAACAATTTTATGCGGTACTGATAATATCAGGATTATTGTACTCACTTTTTCTTTTTCTTTACATTTGCTGTTAATGTCAAAGTCAAGGACAACAAACCTTAACACTCAGATAATGTGTTCATTATCATGGCTGAAAACACCTATGAAGAACAGAAATGAAACCATAACAAGGACATGGTA